GCACGGGTGAATGTTCATTACAACTGAGTATCATTCTTTTAAGTGGATTAGGCTCCAAATGACCTTCCTCAAATAAAACCATGTGTTTAATAGAACAAGAGAAACCAATTCCGCTGAGTGCTATTAGTATCAAAGTTTAATATTTTCTCAGCAAGACCTTCTCAGCGTACACTAAAAGTTAATCCACTCCCAAGCCTTACTACTCCAAAATACTACACAAGCGCTTGCATTTTTACTCTGCCCCCTGAAAATTCTTCAAATCTTTAAAAGTAGGACATGCCTCACACTGCGCTTTCATGTTTTTGGTTTCCAGTCAAACTTCATCACTGTTTCTCACTCACAATTCTTGCTTTGATGGTGTCTGGCCTGACACGTGCTCATATTTTCTCACTGTCAAATTTAATGATTTAATTTGGCTAAAATGGTAGATAGTATAAGAAAGCAGTGTGAGTGACAAAGTGGTGCAACTGTTATAGATAGGTCTGACTGACAGGGAGAGGCTGTGAGAAGGGTCCCTATGTGCCACTATATCAGTCATGGATTATATTTTATTGGAAAAGCCTCATGGACTTCACTGATTTCATTCCTGGAAATCAATATCCTATGATAGAACTTCATTCTACAGGGAAATAAAAACATCCACAAGTTAAATCTTCTGGAAAATGTGTGTGCCGATTGCAATCAAACCAATGATTGTATGTTTGTAATTAATCAAATGGACATAAACTGGACTGCCTGGTCAGTGGTACCCTAAGAGAATATTTACTGTATTAGTGGTTTTCAGATTCTAGACGTTGTCATACTCCGAGATGGGTGGCAATTTATTTTTCATAACAAATATCTAAAAGGTAAATTCACAAATGCTGAACCTGATCATTTCTATTGACTTTTTTTTTTTTTTAACAATATTAATTTTAGCTGCCCCCATCTGTATTAAATATTGGCCTGTTCTGGTGTCATTTGAAAAACAGCTATTATTTGATCATTGTTAAAGATCCATTAGTACACAAAATGGATTCTTGTGAGCTTTAATCCATGCTGTAATCATGTTGTTACCTGTTCAAAACCATACCAGGAGAAACCTGGAGTTGTGTTTTGTTTCATTCACACATGTTTGAGTAATCCTGCACTACTGTATTAGCCAGGCTGGGCCATCTAGTGCCTCCGCTCAATTTAATTTCTCTCCAGCGACTAGGTCAGGAATCGGAATACATTAGATGGTTCGCGAAAACCCCGGAAATGCGAGTTCGGGTACCAGCCAATCAGCCATATAAGAGCCATATATTCTGTGTTGGCAACGATTCTCGAGATCCAAAGTGAATGTTTGGTGAATTTTATCAAGGGTTAAGACATTATTGCCCTTCTTCCTACGGGATTTGGGAAAAGCTTAATATACCAGTTAGCCCCGTTAGCGGTGCATTATACATCATGGCTAAATAGCAGCGATTGGTTAAATGAAAAAGTACCTGTCTACCATCAAGCGAACGAATCCTAACACTGCGAGATCAGACAGTTTCCATGAAGTGAAACCGGCTGATGAATCATTCTACTATTGTATCTCCAAAGCTCAACATGCTGTTCCACCTTGCGATGTAATTCAGTGGTAGTTTCCAAGTTAAGAGCTACCTTTTATTTCAGAAGAGAGAGACAATTTCAGGGCTGAAATCATCCAAATGATTCTAGTGAAGGTGTATGGAGTTTAAAAATAAAAAATTGTAAGGGGAAGGTTTTATTGGTTTTGGTACACTTGTTTGGTATTTGTTCTTCTGTGACCTTAAAACTACAAAATTGGAAAATCTAAATAAAATATGTAAAAACAAAACATCTAATAAAAATGAAATCAAATCAGTCACCTGCGCCTTGCAAGTCCAAGTATGAGTCATCACCAAAAACATGAGACATTGCCCTTCAGAAAGCCTTAGCTCAAAGTGACTCTCCTAAAATCTATTGGACTAATTACAACTGTTTATCTTGAGCTGGGCTTTTGGCAGTACCTCGTGTCTCTGGTGTACTGTGTAGAATATTATTGACCACAAGCTCTGATGGCTATAAGACTGTCTAGTTACAGTACCTGTTATAGTACTTCTGGCTATAATCTTGCATTATATAGCTGCCTAGTGGTTTACAGCCAGTGTCCTCACAGCTTCAGACTCAAATATCGATCCACTTTAAAATCATTCACACAGCGCGCGTCTGCCAGGGTCACACGACACCCTCATATCTGCTCACATCCGGATTTATGGGTGCACGCTGTTCCATGGACGATTCGCCCATTTCACAGCTTTTCGTATCTGTTCATATCTGTTCCATCACTCCCCAACCTCAGGCGGTTTTCACTTCCCTCAGACCCACAAACATCACTCGTCTCATTCATCCTGCTTTTCCTCGCCCTATTGCCCTGCTTTCTTTTCATTTTATCATCTTTCACTTCCTCTGTAAACACACCTGACTCATCCGTGTGCAATTGTGCTTTTCCAGCAGTTATGTCTCATCAGAACTTCTAGAATGTCTAGAAAAAAACAATGAAAATTAATGAAATAAATTACTAATAAATATACTATACAGCCTTTTCTGAATTATATTGCTCAGAAAATTTGTAACCTAAGATCAAATAAACTGAACTGAAACTTAAAGATGCACTGTAGGAATTTTTAGAGAGATGTTATTGTTTGGTTGGAAAGTTCCACACTATGGTATTAAACTTTTATTACTCAAAAACTACCTTGGAAAATCCTATATTATACGTCATCGGACTCGCCTCTCCACAGATCTGACCTGTAGTTTAATCTGGTTGAGCTATCTACTTGTCTCTATAGAAAGAGACACATTTAATGCCATACTGTGGAGTTTCTCAAGCAAAGGAGACAACCATAAGGCAAACCCTCCACCAGAAAAAGTACATAGTGCATTTTAAAAATCAACTGTTAGTACATTTTGCATTGCCAAAGAAACAAAAACCTGACATTCCCCAAGAGTCTAGCGGATACTGTTTTTTCCTCACACCAGTGACTCCCAACAACAGTCAATACACTACCTGTCAAACTAATTTACTGTTTTCCTTTTCATGTTTGCTGTCCTCCTTTCATCTTTCTCCTGCTCTGTCTATCCGTCCATCCTCGTCTCATTCTCATCTACAGTCTGTGCACACGCCCTGGGCCCAGATCTCGTCAAAGCCACGGGAATTATTTACTGCTTAATGGCCTACAGCCGCTCCCTGCAGCCCCGCAATGTGCTCCACTTTATTTATCGATTTTCATTGCTTTTGTCTTCCACCGTGTGTCGCGTGTTTGTGAATGAAAACCCAAGGACGCGCTGCACATTTGAGCCACCCAAATGACCCGAGGATTGCAAGATTGATTGAGTTGATGTTTCATGGCGATTGGCTGTCATGTGGTTTGTTTTATCTGTCGCCTGTCCATGTGTAGTGTCCGATGAATCCCTGTGTGCCGCAATTACTGACACTTGTAACATTATGGGTGATCATGACAAATGGTGCAGAGGTGGGGAGAGTGAACAAATTCTCCTCACTGCCGGGACGGAAGCCAGCACGACTCTGTTTTAACAAAAGGGAGATAATCAAGGTGGATGGGGCATCTTAAATCATGGAGGAGTTTGCATTTAGTAGATTATTGATTTAAACTTTTAATTACACACAGGGTTTACTCCAGTGTGCTTCAGAGAGCAGTGAGGAGGTGTCTCGTGGCTTAGGGCACTGTCTCAGATTAATAGATCCACCTAAAAAGCCTATTATATATGTATTTGACTGCAGTGTTGAATTACTCACCAATATTTGAGGTCGAAAGGTGCAGGTTAAAGGCCCACTATGTCACTTCTGGCACTTCTCTGTCTCCCTGGAGATGTTATTGCTTTGCTTTATCTACAAGAAGCAGGTTATGTCACCAGGTGAAATTACAGGTCAAATCTGTAGAAAGTTTGTTATACTGTGAAACATTCCGGGTCAATGCAATAACATGGTGGCAGACCCCTACCAGAAAAGTTAAATAAAAACATCACTGAGAGAATGCTTTTTCTACTAAGCTAAGTTGCAATCAAAACATCTAAAAACATCTGAAAAGAAAAGGGGAAAAATGAAAGAAATGGTATCTTAATAGAAGTATCTTAATTAGGCCTATGTTTCTTAATTCTTTAAAATAAAATAAATTTAAATAAATTACTAAAAATGTAATCCTGTGCTTTCAATAAATATTACATAACTGGCGTAACTGTATTGTTGAGTTCAGGTGCAAGTTTTTCAGTTTCAGGTTAATCCTAATAGAGTGAAGGTGCATTCTTCTTGGGGACAGAGAGCAAGATGGGCAAGATGAGCCAATGAAGCCTGAAGTTAACCTATAATATATATATATATATATATATATATATATATATATATATATATATATATATATATATATATATATATATATATATATATAAACATTTTCAGCATTAGGACATGACTGCAGATCCCATTCTCACTTGTGTTTGTTCTATGAATGGAGGGGCTCTTGTCCAAAACCACTTATATAAACCCACACCTCAGATAAATACATTAAGACTGGGACAAAACGGGTCCAGAATAGATGAAAGGGAGAGGCTTCTAGTAAAAGGCAGGTCCTTCATTCAGCAACTCCGAGCCCACCCCACCCCTCTCTTCGGTGCTGAGGCTGATATCGCCTCCCTCCTCCTTCCTTTGCGTTTTCGGATCAATGAGGCCAAGGCAAGCGAGGGGAGGCGGGTGTATTTTGAGCCACACGCTGCCTGCTGCTGCCCCACGTACGTGCTCACATCGCCACACACGCTAAACGGAGACACACGGAGCGAAGTGGCTGCGCGTACCTCCTTTTTCCACGCTCTGCAGACGTGACACCGAGGAAGCCTATACCTGCACCTCCGGATTTCCCTGCAACTTTTCTGCGCAGACCATTGTGTTTTTGTACTGTTCGCAGTGTCGCATCCCTTGTAATGAACTGTTTGCCTACCTGCGTCGGTTCCATCTCAGCATGGGAACTGCCGTGTCCAAAAGGAAGAATTTAAGAAACGATGCGATATCTTCTGTGGCGGCAAAAGTTAGGTGAGTGACGCATTCATACGCTCGTGCTTTGATCTTATTTCTTAGCAGTGGATGTCCTCGTGTCCCCCTATGGTCCAGTTTGAATATGAAGTTACCATGTGTGGACTAATGTGTTCCCGCGTGGTGTCCTGTCTCAACCTGTTCCGTGTTTTCACTGACTCTATGCGCAAATGCTCCGGAGCACGCCTGTCTCACTGTCCCGTCTACCAGTTATGGGGCGTGCTCCATAAACATCCGTCTGGGGCTGCTTTATTCCCCCAAATTGCTCATTGTCTTTCATTGCTACTGTGTGTCCCTCCAGAGTTACCCGAGAGGAGGGGTGTGCTTGTGGCGCGTAAGGTACAGATGTTGTGAATGAAGCATTGTGTAATCAAAGTCAGGCAAAACCGAGGCAGCAGCGTATACCGTATAGCCAATGGGCGCCAAGACCAATGCTCTCCATCCCTTTAACTTACACTGTTGTGGTGGATTGTTGTTGCTATTCAACCTAATCGTTTTGCGTCTGGCCACACTGACCCTGCTGATGCGCAAACAAACAAAATATCCACAGTCCTGAGACCAAATGATTCACAAGTCAATTAATCAATTAACGGGGCTGCATGGTCACCCATCACCTATCTGACACTCAGGCCTCAGAGGGCTGTGGTTCGAGAAAGATACTGGGGCATACAAGGTTTGGCACGAGTCCAACGCTGAGTAACTGAGTGGGAATGGCTGATGTGATGGGTACAAAATTCACTTGTATTTCCAATAACTGTTCTGTATCATTGGGGGAAAACATGCGTGGAAAAAGCAGGACTGTTGATGCGTGAGTTGCGGGGTATTGAGGACACGGTCACAGACACATGCGGTATCTCTGCTCGGAGAGGTGCGCGCGTTTTAACTCGATCAGTGGATGACCTTGACTGCTATGCGTGGATCCCCAGTGCGAGCACACATGTGGGCTGATGTTCTTACGTCACCCTCTCCTCCTGTGTCTCCTCTGGTGGAGACGGCAGCCTGTAGCGTGTAGGCATGTTGTGGACACAGCTCTGGCAGCGCCGTGCATCACCCAAAGCAAGGAGTTTTAGGATGCAACTCACGCACAGAACAGAACTGAGACTAGTCTACTGTAACGACTGCTGCTGCTGCTGCTGGGGCTGTGGAGGATGGGGAATACATACGGGGATGTCTCATCATTTTTTAAAAGTTCTGTTCTGCTCATGCTGTTCGTTAGAAATGTCTTAAATGTCCTGATAGATTAAATCATCTTAGTGAATTATCCCCTTATGTGCCCCGTGGGGATTCAGACCTTGATTAGCACGTCTCGCTTTTTTTTCTTTTGGACTGCCTCCTGATTAATGTGGATTTCTTAATGCTTTGTAAATCCCAATCAGCATATCTCAGTTTGCTAGTAGGCCCAGAGACCATAATGCAACTTTATTTTGAAAAGGGAATTTATACTGCATTTTCTCTTTCCATCAAATTCTCTCGAGTCTCTCATGTTTCACATCATAAGCATCAACATTTTCAGTTTAGTTCCTCATATTTGAATAATAGGGCACAACCATCTGGATAGTTTTTCCAATATATTATCATTAATGGTTACATATGACTTAAAGGACAGCTCAATCTAAGGGTACACTGCCTCCAGCCACGGAGATGTTATTGCTTCTGGAATGTTCCACAGCATTCAACATGTATTACAGGTGTTTTATTGCTCATAACTGTGAGTAAGATGGCCTTTTCACAGATCTGACCTGTAACTTGGCCCAGTGCCATCACTTGCATGGAGACAAGCTGATGGTGGGCCCTCCACCAGGAAAGTTATATTGAGCACCTTTAAGATATGTCTGCACAGTGCACACACACAAGAAAACATGTCTCACCTATGGGTTTCATTAACATATTTGTCACATGGCCTTATATGTGATAAATCCTTGACAATGTTTTAAGACTGACTAAATGTTTTATATTTGAACAGTACTGAAGCTGGACTAGCAGTGCTGCTTACTTGTCTAATCCAGAAATCATTTGTTAATTTTCAAACTGAGCAATCAAACATTTAGGATTCCAATTATCTGTTACAAGTCTATCACACAGCTCGATCAAACATGGGTCTCCTCCTCTACCAGAGCGTGACTATTCATAATGTTTATCTGCAGCCTCTATGTTTATCTCTCACACACATCGCTCTGGTCTGGGCTGCACTTTAATTTTTGGGACTCATGGCATGGCTGAATGGATCTGTGCTCCTGCAGATGGGAAACACTGTTGAATCACATGCAATATTTATCAGTCCCTCACTCACCTGCTTGTGACCCCATGAATGCACAGCCGAGCATTGGAAGGGGTTTGCTCTGGCAGCACACAAACACATCCACATACAACCACATAATATACAGCCTCTTCACTGACAACTAGTCACTTAGCTCAGAATTCATTGTGCTGCTCTTTAGCTTTAGCTCTTTGTTTGTCTTTGTGGTCATTTTTTATATGTTCATATTTCATGCTATTGGCTTAGTAGCATACAGCAATGAGTTGTGCATGAATAATCCTGTATTGTCCTGCACTGGAGGCTTGAGTGCTCAGAACATTTTAGTTTTAACTACTAGGCATTTCAACAGTAAAAAGGTGTGAATACAATTTACTTCTATGGCTGCTACAGTGAACTGACACCTTGACTTGCAAAATATTTCTATTTACAATATTGCGGTTTTCCAATGAACAAAATTAGGAATGCCCCAATCCAGCTTTTTCTGTTCAGATACCAATGTTGATACTTTGGCTTTAAGTATCTGCCATTTTGAGATTCATAACTGTTGATTATATTTAAAGTAACTACAGAACAGCTTTAAAATATTATGAGGTGTTTTAGGCCAGATCCTCTCATGTGTATAGACAAAAATGGGATATTGACAGAACCATTATCTTGGAATCGGTGTCCAATCCATCACAATTTTCAGTATCAGCTCCGATATGTGATACCAGTACTGTATTGGTATCCTGATTCATCAGCCAGTTTCACTTCATGGAAACCATCTGACCTTGCAGCATTAGAATTCGTTTGCTCGACAGTAGGCGGGTACTTTTTTCATGTAACCAATTTGATAAAATTTACCAAACCTTCTCTTTGTTCCGACTTTAAATCCTAAATCTTGGGAATCGTTGAAAACACAGAATGTCTGGTTCTTTGCTGATTGGCTGGTGCCCTAACTCGCACTTCAGGGGTTTTGCGAACCATCTAGTGTATTCCGATTCCTGACCTAGTCCCTGGAGAGAAATGAAATTGAGCAGAGGCACTAGGTGGCACTTGCCTGGCTACTGTATTGGTGCATCCCGAAACAAAATGTTAAATTGACTGATTGACTGATGTATGTTTAAAAATGTTTCTTCTGTAAGTTAAGGGAAAGCTTGTATGGTGCTTTTGAAGATAACTTTTCCATTGGATTATCCTTAAAAAAAATTAATGCCACTGCAATAGTCCATGAAATCCCTTCTCAGTTTTCTACCTTTAAACGTACAGTAGCCTTTGCTGTTTGCGCGTCCACTTTCCACAGAGCACACTGAGAGGCTGAGGGCTTTGTGTGGCTGCCCCATATATTTCCCCCTGGATGGTGTAGTGCGGCGAGGGTGACATGATAAAGAGCGGCCTGGTTCTTCACTTCATGGCAAAGGGGACACAATAATGACACTAGAGGGTTTAACCAGCTAGATGCTATAGTGAACAGTTATTGACTTGGCATTTGGAGGAGCAGAGATAGCAGCGGGTTTCAATTGTGACCCCTGAATTGACGCTAGAGGAGAAATGCACAGTAAACCTAGATACGATTTTCTGTATCGGCAGTAAAATTTGTAACTACACAGATAGTCACTGTGGAAATGAACAAGATTCCCTATTAGCTACTTTTTTACTGTCTGCAGCCACAAACCCACACAGACTATAAATACCGCCTAAGTTTTCTTTGCTTGATTTCATTTACTAATTTAAAACATGGAAAATAGAACTAATTCATCACAAAGGATTTTTAGTGGTCCAAATTCTTCATTTTCTTATACATTCGGAGAATCCTAATCACGCACAGTGATTTGTTTATATGCAGTTTTAAGTTTTTGTTTTGTTTTAGGTTTTGCAGTCCTGGTAATGCTAACTAAAACTAGCATGCTAACCGTGCACTTCCTTAGTCTCGGGCTATAAACTGCTTTATAATTAGATGCAGACAGTGTACAGTGGACTTACTTATTAAGAGCTGCTTATGCGATATATCTGTACTGGGGCAAGCCACATTTTGCTCAAAAACAATTCCTCTAAAATTTCAACATAAACTCTTTAAAAGGAAATACTTATTTACCTGCTGCAGCATTTGAAGTCTATATCTAAAAAAACACGCTTTCCATTGCTGTACACAGACTATATATAACACAGTAATACTAACCTATTTAATCACCCACTTGAAACTGTTCTATTACATTTCATTAGTCTGAATGTAGAAACTTTATGAGCAGTCGGACCTCTCTCTGTGAAGGTCAGGGCTTGTACTGTGAGAATTCAACTCCCCATTGTATGCCACATGAAAAGACTCAGACTCAGTAAGAGCGTCAAAATGGTTCACTCTCACTACTGAACAGTTTAGAATTTTAAATGTATTTGTACCGTGTATATTAGAGACAGTGAGTTATGGCTAATGAAGCTGTAAATGAGAGGGTCGGGGAGGTCAGCGATGTTATTTCTTGCCATTCCAAAGCTCTTTCAGTAGTTCAATGTTGTGTGAAATGTGTTGTAACAGATTGTGATGGTGGCTTTTGGTAAACAAGTCTTAAAGGGTTCAGATTTCAGTCTTATTGTAAACTTATCTGGAAAGCAATTAGAGCACTTTGATCAGAATCAGATGATTAAAACATAAGTCACATTAACAGTGCTTGCCACAAAACTCATATTATTCTCCCCCAAATAGTTCAGCTCAAATTTGGGGCTCTTTGTTGCCTTTTTAAAATTGTAACTTGCTGTATTGTCATCAGAA